AGTGGGACCCAGACCAGTATTTTTAACGTTCTAGGTAATTCCAATGTGCTACTAAATTTGAAAAACGTTGCTCTAAGGTTTCTTTCAGTTCTAAGGTTTTATAATTTTTAAAATTAAAATGGAACAATATAACTACTAGATGATAGTTTCTAAGATTTCTCCTGCAAGAAACCTCTTTAATAACTCGGTCACGCAGGACGTTAAAACCGCCTAATTTTATCATTGTCGCCCCACCATCTTTCTCCAAGACCAGGAAACATAATAAAGTGGGATTCTCTTCCCTCTCCACTTTATCTAACCTCGTTTTTCCCAGAACTCATACAACAGGCTGGTTACTCAGTCTCATATTTCGAACCCTTAAAATGACTGAAAATGATTTAAAATGTTAACTATTCCCTTTTATAGTTGACATCACAGTAAAGTACAGCAGCAGTTCTTTTTTTTAATTTTTATTTATTTTTGTTGTGAGGAAGATCAGCCCTGAGCTAACATCCGTTGCCAATCCTCCTCTTTTTTTTTTTGCTGAGAACTATTGGCCCTTGGCTAACATCCGAGCCCATCTTTCTCTACTTTATATGGGACGCTGCCATAGCATGGCTTGATAAGTGGTGCATAGGTCCACGCCTGGGATCCGAATCTGTGAACCCCGGGCCACTGAAGCGGAGAGTGCAAACTCAACCACTATGCCACCGGGCCGGCCCCAGAGCAGCGTTCTTGATCTGAATTGGAAGCATTTCATTCGGCTCCTAATTACAACTTTAGGAGAGAGGCATGCTTCAGGAAAGAACACAGGACAGTTCCAATTTATTATTACACCTGCTGTCTTGGGGATGCAGAGAGTATGAAGGTACATAGTGGTTTAGAATCACTATAGCATTTTAATGCTTGAAGGGTTAATCCTCTCATAAAGAAAAAAGACCCAGAGAAGTTAAGAAAATTGCCAGAATTCACATTTCCGTCCTCCTCTTTTAGAGCCTGCTTTACTATGTTTTTGATGTCTCAAAATACAACTTTTATATCTTAAATAGTGTATCTCTGTTTCCTAATTTCCTTTATGTAGTAATGTAACTGCAGTGTAGACCCACCACTGCATGCCAGCCACAGTGACCTGCCTGCTCCTTAGACACAAGAGGCTCACTCCTGTTGGCAGGCACCTGCATCAATTAATCCCTCTGCCTCAAATGCTCTTCCCTCTGGTATCTGTAGGGCTGGCTCCTTCCTGTCAGTCGTCTCAGCTCAGATGACTCCACCTCAGAGAGGTCCTCCCTAACACCCAACTTGAAGCAGCCCTTCCCTAATCATTCTCTACCACATTCCCGTTATTATGTATATATTTATTTTATCCTATGTTTATTTTTTTAAATTACAATCTGAAACTACCTTCTTCAGTTGTTTATCTCCTATAGTCTGTATCTCCCCACCTGGATATAAACTTCATGAGAGCAGGGACTTATCTAATTTACCACTATATGCCTATGCTTAAAACAGTAACTAGCAGAGTGGGCAGTCAAAACAAACATCTGTTCACCGAATAAGTAAACATGATTTTCCCACTCTACATTCCTTGAGACAGCATCTGATGATGTCAAAAATTACCAGCAATTTTCAAATGCAATCTCAAAACCATGAGTTGAACACAATAGTCTTTGAGGAGTTAAAGCTGTTCTTAAGGACAAACGAGTTCTTCATAGTAGTTAGGGAAATTCTTTCCTACATCAAATCTCTAGTTAAAGAACAAATATCAATATCTATTATGTCTGTCTGTCTATCTGCCCATCTAACACCATTTGTATCTGAAGCAGGCGAACTGGTTCCTGTCTTATAGTAGCTACAACTTAACAGGAAGTTTCCATTTAATATTTCTTTCACACATAAAACATTTCCCTTAAAATACATTGAAGAAGGTAGTATGGAATATGGAATTATGTACCTGAGGAATTCTTTCCACTTCAGTAAGACTTTTAGCATTTCCACTGGAGGTAAAAATTGGAATACAGAATTATTTGAGTAAGATGTTCCCAAATTTCCACTGCCCTCTTCTGTGCAAATCTAAGCCCAAGTCAGGTCCATCTGCTCAAAATTGCTACAGTCCTGCCATGTCTGCGGATAAAACCAATCCTACCAGAGTAGTTCAAGTTACTGGACCAAGGATGGGTTACCAAGCCAAACGCAATCATGTACGATGGAACATTAAGGCAGAGCAACTGCTTTGAAAGTGGCTTGGTACAAATTATGCCCAAGAAAAGAACTTCAAACTGGATGGTGGTACCCTGAACCTCTGAGATTCCTCTTTTTGGGGAAGCATCAGTGCTAAGTGATCAAGGAGAAGGCTGCATCCTGAATGATACTGAGCTGCTGTTCTGGTTACTGATGAGACCAGCTGTCCATTCTGGACCATGTCACATTCCCTTGTATCCTTGCCCAAACCCGTTATGAAAAATAATCTGGGCATGTGTCTTCCTTGCACCATAAAGAATAAATCATCTATCCACAGACCCTAAAATATAAACCCTCTGACTATACATGAAATGGGGGAAATTATTTTCTCTATAAGCTGAAAACGCATCAAACAAATCCCTGCAGAAAAGAATGTCAAAAGTATGCCTATCCTCAAATAATGTTTAGAGCATATAAAAAAAATAGAACCGTTACATACAATTCAGTGGTACAATTCCTGTTTCTTTGACCTCAAGCATCTATTTTACTCTATAAATAAATTAAAAACCCAGATATAATAATGGATAAGATTGAAGCATGGACCAGTTATGTCTGCAAAATATATATAGTGGTTCTTTGATAAGCTAAGTCAGCAACTACAAAGTATGTATTTGCTTTCACAATTCAGTTCAACTAACGTGTGCATACCTACTATGTACCAGGCATAGTGTTAGGTAATAGGATGAAGAAATCATAGATACCACTCTTAAGGAACTTAGATGGAGACTAAAAAACAAACAAAATAGAGAAAAAAAGCTGTGTTGAATCCAATGTGGTGAGTCCTATAAAAGTGACAGGCACCCCATGTTGTAAGTAGTATTGCTGGCAGCCTCCACTTTTTCCAACAATACATTCCTGGGATACACATCATACAGGAGTTTGCCAAAGAAAGGTGTTATTTTCCTTTTGGGATTGGTGCCAAATAAACTGTGCTAAATAAATAGCACCGAATAAATTGGTAAACAATATGTTCAAAAAACAATGTTTCAACAATTAGAAGGGTCTGTTACTACAAAAGAGAAAATATTAAGCAGCATGTCCTATAAAATGCACAAATTCAACAGGTTACATAAGGGTTTTCAAGATTCAAAGAGGATATAAGAGGAATACAACAGTTATGGGAGGTGTTACACGTCGAACAACAAAAAATTTTTTATAATAGCTATATTATCTGGCGGCCTTAGAAAAAAATTTTGAGGCAATGCTTTCTTTTTTTCCTCAATAAATTTCCCCAGGATAGACGGGGCATTTGAAATCATCCCACTTACTCTGAAGCCGTTCTCAAAGTATAGCATTGATCTTTAACAACCATTCACGGTTGGTCTCAGTAGTGGTATTTCTTCACTGAAAAGTGTTTTTTTAAAGGTAAGGCCACACTGCAGTTTTAGGAAGTGTGGTGAACGGTCACAGGTTTTAGAATCCAAGAAACTGAGTTTCAAATTCTGAATGTGCCATGTGATCTTGAGCAAGTTTCTTAACTCTGTGTTAGGGTTATGTTTCAGTTTCCCACTGTGTAAAAGAGAACCACCCCTACCTCACCATTGTCAGATAATGAAATATAGGAGAAGTGTCTTATATGTTGTAGGTATTCAATAAATGCTGGCTCTTAATACTATTGTTGTTACCTTTACCTTTTTTCTACCTCCTTGGTTTACACAAAGTTAAAGTTCAGCAGTACAGAATTAGATTCAATAAAGGCCAATAGGAAAAGACACCTAATAATCTAATATTAAAAAAAAATACCCTCCCACAACTGCCCAACAATAATCATTATTACATTTTGGGGTAATCTATCTAGTCTTTTCCACCCCCCCAAGGAAAATTTTTCTATGGAATTACTAAAACTAAAATAAAAGTATATCCTGACTATGTTCAGCCAGGAACCAGTAGGAAAGGCAGAGACTATGAAAAGCACAGAAGTAAACTGAGAGTATGGACTACCTGGAGCACTGGGATGCCCACGAGAGTAAAAAAACTCCACAAAGTGCACAACAATGTGAAGGTACTTAATGCCACTGAACTGCACACTTAAAAATGGTTAACATCCTAAATTTTATGTTATGCATATTTTCCCACAATGAAATAAAACAACAAAAAAAAAAACAAACAAAAACTCCAAGAAGTCAGGGCTTGGTCCATTTTGTATCCTTAGCACATTAGAGACAATAAATATGAGTTGAATAAAAGTAGAGAAAATGGGTCTAGTGATAGGATCTTGTAACTTTTTCTAGTTTCTACCTAAAGCCAACTCTGAAGAACAAGGATAGTGAGAAGATAAATTAAATATTGCTTAAAAGAAACATGCCTTGATGGTTTACTACTGATATTTATGACATCAGCCTGGTTCCTGTATCTTTCCACACTAGCGAACTCAGAGTTCCAAGGAAGAAATCCATTTGTCCCAAACTAAAAGCACAAGGAAAGTGTCTCACCAATTGTTTCAACAGGGAAGATGGTGGGTTGAAGTCTGACTGATGGTTGAAATTTAAGCAGGGTCTCCACCAACGCAAATTAAGCTTTCCCTGGCTAACTAGCTTAGAGTGACTTGTTTCACCAGCAGACTTATATATTCATATTTCACATCTACAGCACAGTGCAAAACCTTCACATCTAAAACTGTGCCTCAAAACTCAGCATGAAAGTCTAATACGCTTTTAATTTTAGAACGTATTCACATCTTTGCTAGACTGAGAAAGACCATTCATCCCGGGGACTATCATTTATTGATGGCTACTAACGGCAGCCCTTGAGGTAGGCTTTAGGGGTTCATGAATGAATAACTCACAGTTAAAACAGCTCAGTGTACCAGCTTTGATGTACTTTGCTGGCTAATATTACTTTATGTGTCCTAGACAGATGAAAATCCATTTCTTGAACCTTTTTAAACTCACCTGGTGGCGTAGCACTGGAGTTCTGTAGAAGCACAGACTTCACTGTGCTGTTTGGAGATCCTATAAAAATAAAGAAATATCCTGAGATGAAAGGACATTTAACATTTAACTAAGAACACTAGCAATATGTGTGGTCTTGGTGGTGTGGGGGAGGGTAGATTATTCCACAGGAAGTTCTACTTTTGCCACTGTTGCTATGAAACATACCTTGAAATTGTCAGTAAATCTGGGACTGTGTTACTGGATTTTTCAAGACAGAAAACATAACTTATGTAACAAACACTTACATAGTACTTACTATGTGCCAGCCACTGACTGACTATAATGGCTTTGCCAAGGTTCATTCACACTCATGAGGACACAGTGACTGGTCAGACAGAAACCGTTTTCTGCTACCGACAATGCTGCTCTTCTGAGTGGAGCGGACCATCTTGGGACGGGCCCTTCTATTCATGGGTGCCCCTAGGTCTTAGACCACCAAAACTCTTAACTTCATACAACAGAGAGAAGATGAAGTGGGTAGGATTTTCATTTTTAATTGCAAGCCTTCTAAGTATGATTCTTTTAATTTTTAACTAATACCTTAAGATTTAGGAAAAGTTTAGAAGAATTCTCTGCCTCAGTTAAGCAACTTTCAGAGTGGCTTATTCACCTTGGGTCTTTGTATAAGCGAAGATTAAATACATATACCATGTGGGAAGAGAGCAAGTGTATTATCGTGTACTTTTCACAGATAGCCCTCCCCCACCAAAAAAATCCCTCAAAGTACAAAGAACAGTAAGCAATAACAACTTTGAAGGATCTAGCTCTACAGTGTGTGCAAATTTCTTCCTCCTGATGGAACTAAAATCCACAAAAGGATATGGGGTGAACATTAACTTGAAAAAGATCAAGATCTGTAGACTATACAGATGTATTTAACAGCAGATATCAAATAACTGCTATTATGAAGAGCTTACTACATGCCAGGCCTCCCAGGGAGCATATAACTTGCATCAGCGCATCTAACCCTCCAACAATTCTGAGACAGGAAAACTGTTGTGCAGTGACAGGAACTGAGGCCCAGAGGCCACCCAGCTAATAAGTGGCAGAGTCTGGATTTGGACCAGGCTGTTTGATTCCAAAGCCCGTACATGTGCGAGTCAGAACAAACTTGATTTTCTACTGTAAACCTGCTTCTCCCCCAGTTTTTCCAGTTGTTGCATTACCAGTTGTTCAACCCCCAAACCAAGAGGTCATCCTTTGATTCTTCCCTCTTCCTCACTCCACCATCCAATCCATTAGCAACTGATTTCAGTTCCATCCCCCAAACAGATCTAGAATCCATCCACTTATCTCCATGATCACGCACCATCATCTTTCACCTGGACTACTGCTAGAGCCTCCTGGTTCTGTGTCCCTGCTGTTGTCACTTTTATGAGGGATGACTTCCTGGCAACCTTTTTTTTTTTTTTTTTTTGCTTGAGGAAGAAGACAGAAGCAGATGATCTTTCTAGCTCTAGGACCTTTTCTCCCTTTTTTCAATAAGTACTATGAAGCACACTGTGGGCAGGCACTGTTTTGGTACCCTGAGACAAAGAACGTCATGGACTACCTAAGCATAAGGAGGCTGATGCTTTACTTGACAGAAAGACCAAGTATTAAAATACAATAATGCACTGAAAGGAAGAAAGTTAAATTCATGAAGTGGCATAGACTTACTAAGGATTAATTTCATCTCCTAATTGTCTACCCATTATGGTGGCTTTTGAAGCCTGGGACTCACTTTAGAAAGTCCCTGTTATTTGGGGTCATGCCCTCTGTCCTCCCCCGTAGGCTGAGAACACTTTAACTATGGCTTGCCTGAGATTTGATAGATGTAACCAAGAGAGCTGGAAGTGGTCATCTCCTGGCAACCTATCTGAACTCTTGAATAGAGCATTTCTGAAGCCACCTTAATCTCTGGGCTTTTCAGTTAAAGAGTCAATAAAGTCCCTTCTTTCCCCTAAGGTTGTTCAAGGTGGGTTTCTGTCACTTGCCACCAAGGGTCCTGATTAATAGCCTCTCCTTCACCCTCCCTTATGTCTTTCATTGCACTCCCACAAGCTATCCTGTTTGCTGGTTTGCTAACTTGTTCAAAGTCTCTCCCCTCCTCCAACTGAGGATATTTGTGAAACTATGCAGCAGACTGTGAAGGATATTTTAAAAGAAGAATTTCAGTAACGTTTTTATCCTCTCCCACAATATGCTGGGCAATGGCAGTATTGTGGATTTAAGCATTATCTACTTGAAGAGCCAACATCACCTAATGTGGCTTAGTGGCAAAATGGTTGAGAGTTTGGATTCTGGTCTCTGAAATCAAACATGTATTAGTTGTTTTATTTTGAATAAGTTAGGTAACTTCTAAGCCTTAGTTTCCTCATCTATAAAATGGGGATAATACTGTGAGGATACAATGGGACGATGTATGGACCTCAATGAGCATAGTGTGAGGTACATAAGCGCCCAGTAAAAATTAGTTATATAAGCTCTAATATGATTGTTAAAAGTCACTGTACTTCATAATGACACTTTATACAGATTACACACTGCATACAAAGACTAGGAGAACATTTATTTGTTTTGAGAAATCCTCTATAAACCCTTTTTTTACTCTAGTTTCAAGGTGATATTATAGTCTGTAGAAATGGATTCCAGCTCATGCTGGTTATACTAGTTCATGAAATGAAGACTCTCCTATAGTACAGCATTCATTCCAAGTTTTCCAAATAGCACCAACCCCTAGTGAGACATTAAGCAATAAACAAAACAGTCCAACAGTGAGTATTAAAATAGGGCAAAAAAAAAAAAAACCTGTTATGAGGGCAAAAGAAAGAAAAGGACACTCAATTTCTCTAATCAGTAATTCATTAGAGAAACAATAAAGGTTAACTTTCACAAACTAACAAATAAAAGAAAAATGGAGACCTCCCCTCATAAAAATTGGTATAAAATTAGCACCAAGATATACTGTTTCATTCCAGATTGTTCATTTTTACAATAAAACATCTCATAATACTGAAAAAATGATGGAAATGATTTATTGATCATTCTTTTCTTAAATGATCTCAAAACCGGGTCTGTAAAGCCAGTTTGTCACATGCACAATTCAGCAAAGCACACATAAAAATTCAGCAAAACAAAAACTGTTATTGTCTAATTCACCCAGATTACTCTAACAAAAGCAGGAGTTGTGCCGGAACCATCTGGTTTTACAAACTGCCGTCTTTATCTCCTGCTGGATAAAATTAATCTAAGGCTAAATACACAATGGATGGATAGAATTTGAAACCATGAAAAACTTGGATCACTTAAAGTAACTTATCGTAGTTTACTGACCATTACCCAGTGACCTGACTTCTGTAACAGTTGACAAAGAGAAAACGGAATTTACACAGCAAATCCCAGCTTCCTCGCCTTATCCAAAGAGGACTTTTTTAAGTAGCCAAAGGCCTAAAGGGACGCCCCTCGCCTCCCCCCGAAGAGAAATGTCAAAATCATTTTGTTATGGCCTTACTGGCCACGTCGTGGGCTCCTGACGATCGCGCAGCTGCGATCTTAAGGCTGCACAGCTGATACCGGTGTTCACCGCACACGAGGGGCGGGCAGCGCTCATCCCCAGGGGCATAAGCCTCACCTGCGCCCACGAGGGCCGTGCACACTCCCCAAAAGCTCCCAACCAGCTACGTTAGCCCCAAAGTATTAACTTCAAGGTCTGGGGAACCTTAAGACTATAAATCACTTGTTAACTATTACACAATTAGACGATAAAACCCCGGGGAGACGCCTGAACGGTTCCCCAACTATCTGGTAGACATGTTTCCGCAGGAATCGGTAGACATATTTTTCAATCCACCTAATGTTGTTTACAAAAGGAAGCCTTAGATAAACTCGAACCTCCCAGAAAACATTAACCTCAGGGAAAGACTGTAACAACTAATTTCGACCCTCCGCTGAAGGCTCGCTCGTCCTTCGGGTAACTCAACAGGTTGTACTCACTCCTGCGGGCCTGCGACCACCGCTTGCCGAAAAGTGAGGGGAAGGCCCGGGCAATTTCTAAAGCAGGTGGCCTCCTGGCTGGAGCCTCAGTTTCCCCCAGCCCCATCCGGTCACCTCCAGGTCTGCCCCGTGTCTTTGGCTTAAGACACGCAGAACTTTCGGCACAACCACATCCCCACTTGGAAACTCCCGCGCGGCGGCGCGCCTCCTCCCGGGATGGGGACTGGCGACCCCCGCAGCCACTTACCCCCCGAGTCTGAGCTGTCCACAGCGACCTTCAGCAGGGCTAGCAGCAGCAGCGCCCCCAGCATCAGCACGGCCCAGCCACCTCGCGTGCCGAGTCCCATTGTTCTGAGGGCAGGACGCGGCGGCCTCGTGGGTCCCCAACCAAGGTGGCGGCGGCGGCGCTAGCAAGAGCGGCCCCTCTGCGCACCGGCACCCGCCCCGCGTCCCCTTCCGCCGTGCACGCCTCCCCTCCCGCCGCCTGCCCCCCGAAGACCAAATACGGCGCGGGAGCCGAGCCCGGACCCGCCGTCGCTCGCGGAGCCCGGGCAGCGGGACGGGGCGGGGCCGGCGCGGGGGCGGGGTTTGCGATGCTGGGCGCCGTGGCTCTGCTCTCGGCCTCCAGCTCTGACGCGCGCCCGCGAGCCCCACAACGCTCGGGCAGTTTCCTTTCTCTTCCGAAATGGCAGTTCTATTCTCTTGCAGCGAGCGCCGCTGCCTTTCCGGATACTGAACACGCTGGGCTTCGCTGGGCCCGGAAGGAAGTCTTTGAAGAGTAGTTTTCGAGTGGGGCACGGGGGTGCGTGCGGCTGACTGCGAGTGCAAAGTTGCAGGCGGGGCAGCAAAACAGGGAGGTCAGGGCGAGAAGCTCGAGGGGATGCGATTCCCTCTGAGGGGTCCGTCAGCCCTTTCCTTTCCAGGGACCCAGCCTCAGGGGGGAGGGGGGAAAATCTCGACAAATTCGTTGCTTAAGTTCATACGTAAAACACCCATGATCTCTGTACCCCAAATTGTACCTCACGCTCTTCCACCAGTTACCTGCAACTCTGGATAAAGACACATTCTGTGCTGAAAGCGAGTAGTGGAGTGCGTGGGAGTAGAGGGAGAACGGAAGAGTTGGTAGCTATTCACTCACAAGTATAGCCGCCGAGGCCGGGGGCGCACAAGTCTAACCTCGTCTCTTCTCTCCTTGGTGTCGGCTGTCCCAGTTCGGATGGAATAACCTGTTTTGAATAGTTGTTGGCTAAGTCCCTCTTAAGCGATTGAAGCCAATTCTACTCACCTGTCCTGACTTGCAGTGCTTCTAAAGCCTGCGTCTTGTTTCTGCTAAGAACTCTAAAGTGACTTGTAGCAACAGTGGCTGATGCAGAACCACAAAGATGGAGACCTTGAGCTGAGATGCAAGACAGAGGATCCAGGGCACTTAAAGTCACAAGGAATCCTTCACCTGCAACACTCTAAATGTTGCAGATCTTTGGCATCTGACCCAGATTTCATGATGTGAAGTCCACATCGCAATTAAATTCCCCCCAAAATGTTATGAGACAGTACTTTCTGATCTCAGGTAAGTCTATATTAATATGGACATGACGCATCATAGAGATTAACTGGGACAATCTGTCCTGAATTTACAGACTTCCATCTGTTGATTGAACCAAACTTTCAAATACTCCCTGGCATCCACCATGGGCAAAAAGCAAGCGCTGCACACTTAGCTCTTGGTTACTCTATTTAATTGGGGAATCTGGGTTAGGAATAAATTGTTCTGGTGACTGCCTACCCCATTGTTCAAATATTTCACAATCCAGGCCCAACTTGTCTTTCTAGCCTTGGTTTGGCTGCCCATGGACAAGGACGCTTTCTGGTTCCTGGCATTTATTTGCATCTAGTGTTCTCTCTTTCGGAAATACCCTCCTCCATTATCTTCACCAACCCATATCTAACACTTCCTTTAAATCTCAGTATATGTCTACCTGGGAATCCGGAATGGAATATGAGAAGTGAAATGAGAAAGTATGGAAGACAAGATGTCTACTTGACGATTTCTACTGGGACTGACCTTGATGGAGACTGCTCAGATCTTCTCTGCTGGTTCTTCTCTGATTTTCGTATCTCAGATGTGAGTGGGTGTGCCCAGCTTTGCTTTAATAGTAACAGCCCAGAACTGTGGGCCCACCATGTTTTCTCTAGTCTGAGGAGAGGGGAAAGGGGCAAGGAACGGCCCCTTTCTGTGTCCTTTTTGCCCTCTTAGAAACTCCCATGGGAGGTTTGGACTCCCTGGGGGAAGATCTAGCTGCAGTTTTGTCTCAGGCTCAGCCCCCATCACTGCACCAACATTTTACTGTGGTGACGTGAAAAGTTAAAAGAACAACGTGAAAGCACTTGGCAGTCTAGCTCTCCCCTACCTTTCCAGCCCACGTCTGGATCCCTCTCTGTAACGTCATCAGGCTATCCAAAGTTCTGCAAACATGCCAGGGCCTTCCATGCCCATGTATCTTTGCTCTGGCTTTTTCCTTTGCCCAAGATGCATTCTGACCTCTTCTACCGGGCAGGTTTCACTCATCTCTCAAGATTCCCTTTATATCTCACCTTCTCCCCAACCATCTGGGCAGATTTTAGTGCTCTGATCCCTCTGCTCATGCTTTGATCTGCTTGGTCTTCTCACTTCTACCCTCTTCCCCTATAATCTGTTCTTCATGCAGTAGCCAGTGTGATCCTTTTAAAATATGTCAGATCGTGCCATTCCCCTGCCACCTTCCCAAGTCCAAAATCATGGCCTGCAGGGGCCTGCATGACATGGTCCTTGGCTGCTCTGCCAACTGCATTTTCTACCCTCTCTCCCTCTTCAGTTACTCAGCTCCACCTTCCTTATAGTTTTTTAGGAATGCCAAACCAATTCCCATCCCAGAGCGTTTGTGTTTGCTGCTCCCTCACATCATTTAGGTCTCTGTTCCTCTTCTCAGAAAAGCTTTTTTTGAATACCGTACCTCCCAGCTTTATTTGTCTTTGTAACATCTAGCACTATCTCTCATTATCCTCATTTATATGTTTATTGTTTGCCTCTCCTACAAGGATACAAGTTCCACGAGAACAAAAGACTATGTCTGAATGCATATTTCTGGTGTAGCTCCTATCACGTATTGCTACAGTACAGTGGACACGTCATATTTATGGCTACCTGTCATCTTTTGAATAGCTTTCCTTTTATTATTTTTTTAATTTTTATTTCCTTTTATTTATTTCCTGTATTATTTCCTTTTATTATTAACTCTTCACAATGAAAGCTGATTTATGGGTTTCTTCCTGCTCCCTCTTCCATACCTCTGCTTTCTTTCCCCTACATTCTACATTCCCTGTTTTTCTTGCACCTTCCTCTTCCCTCATCATTTAGTTTTTCCTTCTTGTTTCTTCCCTCAGAGTACAAACTGCAGCTAGAGTGTGAATCTATTCAATTAATCCAAGAAAATTTATTGGGTATCTATTTTGTGTTCAATACTATAGGATTCTGAGATTAAGACACAATTAGATTAGAAGTCTGAGATTAGAACTCAAATTCCCAGCCTCTCTTACAGCTGGGCTCAAGAATGTGACCTAGGCTCTGCCAATCATCTCTTCAAGGTGAAACTTAAATTCAGCTATGAGCAACTGGAGGAAACAGGCTCTGAATGGAGCTTCCAGTTTTGCTGATCTGAATAGCAGCAGAAGTGGCTGGCTTTGTTGGCAGCACTATCAGCAACAGCAGTTTCTCGGTGGTTGCAAGATTGAGTTGCTGATGCAGAAGTGGCATTGGTGGGGAGCTCTAATGGGGAGTTTCCTCACTGGACTAGTTCTGTAGTGGTTTCTTGCGTTATTCCTGGAGGCTTAGCCTCAGTCATGGTTCCCTACACCTTCCAACAATTCTGAGAGCTACACAATATCTTCAACATACTCCTTTTCTGCTACATCAGCAAGAGTCAGCTTTTCTTTCTCACAACTAAGGATCCAGACTTTATACAGTTGGTTGTGTCTTTTTCCCCCTGTAAGCTACAATCTCCATTGGGTGATTTACCAACTATTTATTGAATGCTTACTATGTGATGGACAACGTCCTCACAGAGCTTCCAGCCTAGTGGCAAGACAGATATGTGGACAGTTACAGTAGAGTGTGATAGATGCTAAGATGTGATAATGGGAAAGCACACTTTGGAGCCAGTGTCTGTGTCTTCATCTTTGTACCCGAGGGTCTAACATACGTCCCATTATAAAGAAAGCATTTTCTGTTAACTTTGGGTGGAGATAAACAGAGTAGCAAAACTCTGGTACTCTTCTCCCTCAATAATGTTCTTTTTTCATCCATCCTGTTATTTTCTATGTGTCTTCATCTTTGACTTAGGGTCATGTGAGGGTGGACCAGAGGTTGGAACCATCATTCATTCATTCAATCAGTCAATATCCAAAAATTTATTGAACACATGACATGTACCAGGCACTGTGCTAGGTGCTGGGAAATAGCAGTGAATAACATAGATTTACTGCCTCATAAAATAACAGACCACAGTGAGTATTTAAAAGTGAGTTGGTTTCTAGATAGGAATGGCAGAAGCTGCTTCTCTGATGACTGTACAGACGATATAGAGATTTCATGTTTTCCCACTGAAACTTACTTATTATCCCACAGTAAACTTTTATTCATTTAAAAAGAAAGAGGTGACAGATAGTTACTAGAGTTATTGTGATGATCATTTTGCAATATATACAAATATTGAATCATTATGTTATATACCTGAAACTAATGTAATGTTATATGTCAATTATAGCTCAAGAAAAAAAAAAGGAAGAGGTGATAAAGGAAAGTTCATCTGGTTTTATGTCCACATATAATTACCTTCTAGCTATGAATAAATCAGTCTGTTGATAAAGCAATATTTGCATGAGGGATGAATCAGAATCTGCTTGACTTTGAGATGGTGAGGTATCTGCAAATAAGGCAAGGTGGTGGAAAGATGTAACAAAAGAGTATAAGTTGGCCTGTAGCCATTTCCCTGTTTCTGCCAATTTCCTGTCCACTTCCATTTTAGGAGATTGACAACGTGTTATAAACACTGATTAACTCTTCGCAATGAAAGCTGATTTATTGGGTTTCTTTCTGCTCCCTCTTCCATACCTCTGCTTTCTTTCCCCTATATTCTGGACCACCTGTTTTTCTTACACCTTCTTCTTCCCTTTCCTTTTAGTTTTTCCTTCTTGTTTCTTCCCTCAGAGTACAAACTGCAGCCAGAGTGTGAATCGATTCAATTAATCCAAAAAAAATTTATTGGGTATCTATTTTGTGTTCAATACTATATAAAATTCTCGGATTAAGACACAAGCAGAAGTAAAAAATAAAACAAGTAAAGGTAAAGGCTAAATGAACAAAAATACACAGAGGACAATTAACTCCTTCACAACTGAATTTTCATTTTGCAACAAGGAGGTCAGAGAAGAAAGACTGCTGGGTGGACGAAAGTTTTTAAGGAATGACTTCTCGAAAAGGGAGTGGGGTGCTGTATCTGAAT